TCTTGACTTGTGTTGTGCTGCCCTCTGCTGTTCTAACATATAATACTTGAAATCAAGAATGGTAAAAAATAAAAAAAATCTCCTCTAAAGTTATTTGTATAGATGAAATATCCTTCTGAAAAATCCCTGGATGTAGCCAACATTTTATTTCAGAGAGAGGCTAGCTAGAAATAGAATTTTTAATCATGCTAAGGCTTTCCAACTAATATTTCTTGGAGTAGTCCTAGATTACAAAAACTATTTTAATTTGTAAACTGTTATTTACAAGAATACTGACTTGTCAGCATTCTTAATTCAAGGAAGCATTTTTACAGCCACCATTGTTGCAAACTACACAAATTACATCTAGATCTCTGATTCAGCTATACATTATTGGGCAGATTAGTAATAGCATATATAGATTACATTTTTATTGATTTACCCTGCCTTCCTTTTACACAAAACATGAAATTGTATGCCATGAAGCGGGCTGTCATAATAAAAATTCCAGTCTTAAGATTTTGTTTAGTATTTACTTTTGTTTGCTTTGCTACAGCAAATTAGTTCGGCTCCCTTTTTGTAAATAAAAATCAATAGAAAGGAGGAAGTTTTATAAAAAATATTACATATATTTTTGTTGATGCAATGATGTTAAATTTACCAGTTTAAAAAAGTTAGCATGAACATTGATGGGTTTTATCAACTGCAGGATGATACTGGATTTTATCCACTAGTGAATTATAACCGCTTCGCTGACATCTCCATTTTTCTCATGCCTAATTTCTGCCTAATCTGAAACTCCCCACTCCTCCACATGAAAGAATAAAAAAACAATTAACTAGGCGTTGACCGTTACTTGAAGTTTGGGGATAGCCACAAAATCCTTGGGGTGTGTTACACACACTCACAAATCACTTTCAACCAAACACTGAAGCACAACCAGTTCTTTGGAATAGAAATTTAAATTTAACCATCAAAGCTTTACTGGTTACAATGTACATTTGCTCTTTCTCTCACACACATATCTCATCATACACACAACACCCAGTCATCTATACTTAGCCATGTCCTTCTCAAATAGGCTGGGAGCCAGTGGAAATCAAGGGCATAAAATAATCAAGCCAGAAGGAACACAAGCACTTCTGCTAAATAGTTTCCTGAATAATGTGATATGGCAGAATAATGAGTTGGCACTTTAGTATTGAGGTAGACTACAAATCTGATTTCTACAATGCAGTTATCACTAAAGTTTTACACCAGTTCTGTACTGATATTTTCCCATCAATCCTGACTTTTACATCTGCTCCACAGAAATGTGTAACTGTGAAATCCTCATGATGAGCTATAGAATACCTCAAAACCAACATGGCCTGACCCAAAATAATCACCTACATTTCATTTGTAGTATTTTGTTTTACCAAACCCACTTTTATGTTTGATTCAACCATACTCCCACAAAAGCTTAGCACCAACATAGAAACAATTTGTTGCAGTGTAAATAGCACTTATTTGTTGTTATTTACTTCCTGACAATATTGCTGTTGTTGAGAAGAAATGTGTAAATAGTTTTCCATTCAAATGAAGACACACAAAGAACTGATGACTGTTATTAAAATAAACAAGCAAACACTAAAACCTAAATCTCTAGTCTAGAACATCAATGTTAAGTTAAATAATTATTTGGAATATACTTTAAACAGCTACTTCCATTAACAATATTCTAGAAGTCCAATCTTGAAGGAATGGGTTTAGAAAATGTGTCTGGTAATGTTGTTTCATTTAATGAACAACATTGTTCAGAAGTAATATAATTCAAGATCTGGAGGGAGGTTATATGAAGGGGGAAGGAACCCTTAAATCCCAGAAATCCCATGAAAAATAAGCTAGTACAGCTGTGCTAATACAAAGAGATAAAAGTACTGAATGTCAGATTGATCATTATTGTGGCTAAAACAGAAGTATTTGCCTATATGGGCTAAAACCTGTATTTGATGGGACAATGCAATATTAAACTCTGGCTTAGGTTTTGGGTGACTGAGGGCTTTAAGTATTTCCTCTGAACCAAGACATTTAATTGTGGTGGTACAAAACCCAGGCAATCATAGAATGAAGTGATACAAAACCGGTACACAACCTTGGCATTAATTTGGGTCAACTGAAACATATGCTTTTGATATAAGCTATATAACTCATCCTGGCAACCCAAAGTTAGTGGAGCAAATCATTTTTAAAAATGGCAAAATTGGATGAATATAGTGACATTGATTTTTCAGATGTTTCTCTGAATCCCAATCTAAAATTAATTATCAGGTGTAAAATCCAGATTTGGGGGAAAGAAAATGGTATAAAACTAATACATAATTTTTAAAAAAAGTTTTACTAGTTTTTAAGAATTACAATCTTTAGAACTTAGTAAAGAACATGTTGTCTGGGTTCACATATTTAACATTAACTTCTTCAAAATAAGTCTATTCGGTACTGCACAATCCAGTATTTTTTCCCTGATCCTTTCTTCCCCATATTTTTTTCCATTTTCCCCTCATTACACAATTAGAATTCTTGGTACTATTGATGTATACAGAGTTAGATATAAACATCTTCATCATATTTTACTAATATTATACAAAATAACAATATCAATTCATAAATTAATATCCTGTTTTTCATGCTCTTGTTAAGGTTTAATTTTCCATCAATATTTAAAGTATCTTTGTCAGTTATGATTTTCTCAATATTAATTACATTTATATAGCTAAAAGTTTTATTCATACCAATCCTCCTCTTATTTTCATATTTCCTCTATCAAAAAAAGAAAAAAATGCTATTTTAATTCTAAATCATATATTTCATTATAAAAAGTAATTATATCTAAGGGTCATCCATTCTTTTAACCATATTCAAACAAATACTTAAACATATGATGTTTAAGTATCTATACAAATTAAGTCTATTTTTTAAATCTAACTCTAACTTTCTTTCTTTGCCAAGTAGCTTTCCAAGCCAAGGCAATTAAATCACCCAGGAATTTTCTTTCTATTTTTAAGAAAGTTGCTTGGCATGAGGAAGACAATTTAGGTAGGGTATTTTTGAGGGGGAATTCTGCCCATTTATGTTCCTTAAGCAACTCCCACCTTCCTTCTCCCTAATTTCTCCTTTCATCTTTTGTTTCCCAAATTGTAACATTTCCCCTGACAGCTCTATGTTCCGTTCCCCAAAATCTTCTTCCTTATCATCAGGTGGATCTTTCAAGCTTAAAGGGTAAAGGGTCATTTGCAATTTCATTGTTATGAATAAATCTTGCAGTATTTTATTTGTGTATAATAGTTTATATTTCCCCTTCTTTAATCTCTTCCGTCTCTAGGTCCATTTTGTCTGCTTCATCTTCAGATCTCTGGTTTGTTTGTTAATACTTTGTAGTCATTGTCTGGGAACTCTCTAGTTGTAGATTTAATTTGGAGATTTGCACTTTTGTATTATCTAAATTATTTTTAGTCTCATTGTGGTTTCTTTTTATGTCCTCTTTGTATGCAACAATTGTTTGGTGAATTAGTTGTAGCATAGAGTATATTTCCTTCTGAAAGGTATTTGTTTTTTCTTCAGGCATCATTCCTGGAGATTCTCTAATATCACCAGTCTTAGTAAGAGTAGAACAAAGCTTCTTCTAGCTTTCTGGTCTTTATATGCAGCTTTTATAATCCAATAGATTTTGGAATACAGATCTAGTCCCAAAAGCAATATTTTATAATGATCCTTTGTCTCAGGCTTCCAAAAATTGTCAGTCAGGCAATATTATAATCCACACTGTTCAAAGTGTTCAACCTCCCTGAAAACAACTCAAAAGTCTCTCCCAGCCAGACATAATCAAAGGTCAAGTTCTTCTTTCTCTTCCACTATCTCTTGAGATTAAAAGTCCAAGCTCAGGGGGTGTTTATAATCCAACAAGGTCAGGTTGATAAGTATGCCAAAATATTTTCCTTTATTGCCAGCTGTTCTCCCTTAGGCTAGGAATCATCAAGCAGGCAGGAAGCTATAGTGCTGTACTCAGATCCACCACTAGATGTCATTCAAAATCTATTTTCCACTCTTAAAACAAAGGATTGATTTCTTGTATTTCACCTCAATGTCTTTTTTTCAAAGAGAAAATCTTAACAATTATCTCGGTTCTCAAATTTCAAAACTGTAGTTTTATATTACTTCCACTTCAATGTTGTGTATTTCTGTCCCCCATAGAAATTAAAACGCCGCTTCCATTCACATTTGGAGATTTTTAGCTTCTTGCCAGCCTTTCCAGGAAATTCAGTTGTAAAATAGTAAAGAAAGGACCAATATTCTTACCTAGTTCCAAACATGCTGTTTATGATGTGTTAATTGGTGTTCTTCTCTGGTTGTCAGCAGCTAATGGCTGGCCATAGGAATGTAGCCAGTCTTTCCTGTTGGTTTGGAGGGCTTTTCTCAGATCGAACAGAAAGACCGCCGTCTCTCTGTGATCGACAAGATACCCCTCCTTCTTCATCGCCTCTTCGGGGTGACTTTAGGTCCTTTTTAGGGCCCCCAGCAGGGCAAAATCGGGCACAGAAGGCAGAGCCCTGCCTTCCTGCGTCCATGTCACCGCGATGCAAAACTGGAAGTCTCACTAATACATAAATTTTGAATGGAAACTGAATTTTAGGATTAATAATTCCACAGCTCAAATCTAGGCTACTATATGCTGACAAACAATAGTTTGTTTTGCATGAATTCAGAGGAACAATAACAATTACTAAGAGTGTGTGAAAGATAAAATTCTCCCCCAAAGAAATTTATTACAAATTATAGAAGAAAATCATAATCATATTTATAAATTATATTAATATATCAATAAATCTATTTATTTTCTTAAATGACAAATATCATTTTAGTGATGCAAAATCCATTGATAGAAACAGATTCACTGAAGTGACTGCATCATGCTGCTCATTTTATTAAAACAATTTATATAAAAAAGATTGGGAAAAACTCTTGTAAAATAATTGTCTACCACATTTCTCAACAACTGAAATAGCTTCTTTATTAAAATCATTTTAGATGCTTTGCAGTACATAATTATAAAAAAAATTCGCATGAATAGTCAATGCAAATTGACTTTTTAGACTTTTTTTTCCATAATGTCAACATTACTTTTGCTTTGAATATTTTTGGTATTTTCATCTTTGTCAGTGGAAGAAAGATTTTCTACTATGCTGGCTTCCATTAACATTTTTTCATGCTGTCCATTCAATTCATCTTCTATTATTGTTGGTAACTGATTGATGTTTTTGGTTTTACATCCGAATTCCAATTCTTCTAGCACTTGTCCCGAAGTATCTGTAGATGCTGTTTCCAACTGACCTTCTAAATTTTCTTCTTTCCTTTTTGCTTTGAATACTTCAAGTCCCATCATTCTCAGGTAATGTAATCTCTCATTCTTGGGCACGAAAGCACGAAGAGATGTCTTGCCAAGCCAACCACACAGCAAAATAGAGCACTCATGGGTGTCTTGTTTGCTACAAATAGACAAATGCATACACTGTTGATGCTTCAATTTTACTTTCTTCAAAGGATTCATTAGTAATTTTAAACAATACTACTAGCTTGTTTGTTCTAGGATCCTAGAAATAGGGGTTCATTGAAACCATTAAATTAATCATTTCATGATTTCTGTTCAATTTATATTCAAAAGGATCTGTACATCCACATACATTTGCATAAACTAAACACAGAGGTCACTTACCTTTGGTCTGGTTCATATTTCAAGACTATGCTACCCATAGCTGAAACAAAGAAAGTGTAATGTTTTAAAATAACAGATTATTATAATACAAATAACATTAATCTTTAGCCATTCAACCTATGACCCAGTTATTCTCCATAGAATTTGCTGAACACTATCATCTTTTCTATCAAAGCAAATGTTAGGAAATTATTGATATTCTTGAGCTGCTATTAATAATGTTGGGATAATGATCTTCACCAGATAGAGGAATTTTTAAATTTCACTAGCTCTCATTCACACAGTGAACTTGATTACTGGGTTATCTTTAGTCCCAAAAATAAGTTTGAGCCCAACATCAGCCTCTAAGGCATTCTTAGAAAATAAAAATCATGGATGGCTACAGTCTACAGTCATTTAGGTCAAGTGAAAACACGAAAAGTAAAATTGAGAGAGCAGAAAGGATTCTGGAGAGTTACCTTCTGACAAATGGGCATTTATGAATAGTTGCCATCAATTTTCACCATTAATATATAAAAAGTAACCAGTTGGAAATCAACTACTCTAACACTAAATAAACAATGTAAATCAAATCTTAAACCCAAATAACTATTGTTAATTAGTTACCAAGTAACTATTACGTACCCATTCCATTCAGTTGACTGCGTGTTTCATTACTGAACCTGCTTAAGAATGGATTTTCTTCAGTTAACAAAATTTTAATATCTTCTATGCCAGCCGTAATAGATCTGGCACTGATGAAAGGATGCAATGTATATATGCCCTGGAATTGAAAGACATAATTTTTATAATATAGCCATTTCTTTCAAAATTCAAAACAGAAATCTATTTTTAAGGAAAGATTTTCAGTATCTGAATGGAATATAATAATAAGAAACCGAAATCGCAATGTTTTCTGGCTGTGCAATACCATAGTATGAAATAAAATATACAGTCAATTAATCAACTACATCAATAGTGCAGTCTTCTAACCATACAGAGCAAATTAAAACATCCTCAAACTTGTATTACTTTCATGTTAAACATATACATACATACAACCGGCAAACATGCATGCATAAATTTGCCTGGACAAGTCCCAGCAGTTTCCTGTTAATGTTTTTCTTCAGAAATGGTTTGGCACTGCTTTCTTCCTAGGGCTGAGAGAGAGTGATGGCCTAACATCACCCAGTTAACTTCAGGCCTAAGGTGGGACTATAACTTACAGTCTCCTGGTTTCTAACCTAATATCATAAACATTGAAATGAAGATACTTTAAAAAATCTGCATAGAAACCTTGCCATTCTATTCCAACAATCCTACTAACTCCATAAAAATATACAGCAATTTAGGCGGACACAGTATTAGCATGTACAGGTAATCCTTGACTTACAACAGTTTGTTTGATGACTGTTCAAAGTTACAAAGGCACTGAAAAAAACGACTTACAACTTTTTTTCATACAAACATTGAAACATCCCCATGGTCACATGAGCAAAATTAAACAGCTTAGCAACTGACTCATATTTATGACAGATGTAGTGTCCCGGGGGTCATGTGATCCCCTTTTGCGACCTTCTGACAAGTAAAGTCAATAGGGAAGCCAGATTCACTTAACAACCGTGTTACTAATTTAACAACTGCAGTGATTCACTTAATAACTATGGCAAGAAAGATCATAAAATGGGTCAAATTCACTTAACAGTCTCGCTTAGCAACAGAAATTTTGGGATCAATTGTGATTGTAAACAGAGGACTACCTTTATTTCTTTCTGATGGAAGAAACAATATTCTCCAGTGCCACTTAAACTTCAGTTCTAGTCTAACATCTTAAACAGGGCACTTCTATATTTCCATATGCATGGATCGACCTAAGCATTGTTAACAGAGATCAATTCTACTACAAATCTATGTAAAATGTAACACCATTTTATAGCACAAAACTGTTAATGCTGAAATAAATTTCCTAAATAAAATAAAACTTCTCTTTAAAAGGAAATGTTATTATGAAGTTCTCTTGCTATTTATATGTTCCAGGAAACTGAAATATTCTTTTAATGGTTTCTAAGGTGATATAGTGCAGTGGTTAAGGAGATCAACTAGCATTGTAGTGACTATATTTTAGGTCTATCTTATAATAAATGAATGAATGCCATTTTTAAGTCTTAAGCCTATTTGTTTTTTGTTTACAGATAAGTGCTTTTGTCTCAACCATTAATTTATTATAAGATAATCCCACCAGTTTGAAGCTGCTAAACAAAATGTTATCAGTAAATATGATTATATGTCACTTAGGCCTAAAAATATTAAGATTATGTTACTTAATCATGACACTGACTGATTACTATACTTATCTTGAATACTTTTAAGTTTTACTTTAAATTCTTGAGCTCCAAGACTGTTTCATATGTGAGAAAAAGATATCTGCCAACTATCATGTGTTTATACTGCCCTTGGTTTTTTCAAAAGGGTGAAGTACAAATAAAATAAGTAATAGTAAAAACAAACATAATGTAATGAAGTGAACATAAAAGCACACACAGCAATAACACAGGACAAATCTAAATATTGCAAGTTGTTGTTTCCAGGAGGATTATGGAAAAATATAATGTAATAATAATGCATTCATTCTTACCTCTTGTGCTAATCTGAAGGCACAACCATCTCCATCATTATTGCGGCACCACACTTTAATTCCTGTATTAATAACCTATATGAAGTTTAAAAAGTAGAATATTTCAGCATATTTAAGCATTACAATACCCAATTAGTAATTTGAAGCAGTTTGGCAGAAGTCAGCACCAACAATACACCAATATATACTGATAAAGTGAGACATGAGATAGAATAGGCATTTAATAGAGTTCTATTAATCACAAAAAGATTATATTCAATATTATATTGAATATAATAAATATTCACTGAAGTGGTACCTATTTCACTACTTGCATTTCCATGATTTTGGGCTGCTAGGTTGGCAGGAGCAAGGAGAAAGTAACGGAAGCTCACCCCGTTATGTGGCACTCAGGTCTCCTACCCAGGCTGTCAGCTTTCCAGCTGACAAGCTCAGAATCTTTAACCACTAAGCTATTGTATCCAAAGGCATGCCAAATCTGTACCACCAAGATAACAGTTAAAATAGTTTTTAATGTAAACTCTAGCGCAAAACAAAATAATGCAATAAGCATTCAAATATAGACTGTATCTCAACAGAAAAGATTGAGATTCTATGCCTTTTTATTGATAAAATAATATTTGACATAAATGGCATTAAGTCCCATTTATTTACAGTATTTATAAACTACTCCGATCCCAAAGAACTGGGCATACAAGAGCAAACAAAAAGAAAAATGCAACAATAAATAACTAAATACAAATCAATATCAAAATAAAAATGTAACATAAAAGAAGGGCAAAGGTAAGTGCCCACATTCAGTCAGCTGGGACTAACCAGCTAGAATAAAGTAGCTTTAACCTGATTATGGAATTCCAGCCAGGTGGGATTACACACTTCTCTGAAAAGAGTTTATATTATAGAGTTTATAGATGGAGGATCTGAGAAGACCTGCCATCTGTTGAGCATGCAGAGCAGAGAAGGCATTCTCTGTACTCATTAGTAAGCAACTCAACCCTAAAAAATGTAGAGATATCTGCAGGCACACATACAAAAACTGCATGAGTAGTGTACAGAGAAGACAAGAAGACATGCCTAGTTTTGAGACAATTTTTTCTGCACAACTGCACTAAAATTGAAAATGACCTCTTTAATCAAATGAAAAGTCGTAACAAAAGACAGCTATTTTCAAGAGCAGATTCTCAACTCCTTTTAAGAGCATTTTGAATGAGGATTTTTACTGAAAACATAAATACAAATCAAACCTTTAGCTTTTCACTGTTGTTTAACAGTACATCCCGTATCTCCTTGGAAACCATATACACCTGTCTTTTCTTTCCTTCCTGAGTACGAGTTAACAAATTCATCTTAGGGAATGAAGGGTCCAGTGCATAAAAGCTCCTGAAAATAATTACAAGTATTAAGTGTAATCATCCTATTGCAATTTTATATAACGTGGACAATTCTGTTTTTTTAAGCTGTAAAAATATTGATTTTTAATGGAACTTACTCTACTGTAATTGAATGAGTAAATGTAGTATATTTAAGATAAGCTCTAAAACACATTCTACTTTACTGGGACTCATTTTCTTTCTTCTCAAAAATCACATGATTTGGATTCAGTGAACATGAAGTACAGCATTCTATTACATGAAAGTAACTGTGCAGTACCACAAAAACTGGAGGTGAGGTGACGTTACACTACAGTGTAAAAATATGGCGACCAAATCATCATGAAAGCTGCGTAACAGAAGCGGACTAGGTTGAGAAAGGGTATTTGCTAGCTAGAGAAATCTAACAATAGGTTTGTCCAAATAGAAGGTCTTATCTGATACATATTCTCCAGTATCAAAAATGCTTTTTGTCAGAACAAATGATGCTTTTTATTAGCAGAAAGGCATCTCTGGATACAGAGCTATGATCCCAAAAAAATATATCCTTTCAGAAATAGTAACTTAGATGTTTAAAATTTCATATCACACCTTAGGATTTCAAAAGCACAAATTATGCATTTTAAAAATATTGGCTTATGGCATTTCATTTGTATATTTGTCCTTTATTATGTTTTTTACTTTCAATATTTTATTTATGCTCTGTTTATTTAAAAAATCATTGGAATCACCCAGTCAACAGGCTGCATCTCATATGAAATAATTAAAAACAGTAGGACTATGGTGAGATTTTGATTTAATATATATTAAAAGACAATCAAGCCATCTTTAGATGTCAACTATATCCACACAGCATATATGTTTAGGATTTATTTTCAGTTTCCAACAGACTATCCATCTACTTATTTATTAGATTTCTATCCTGCCTTTCATTCAAGGAGCTCAAAGAGGCATATAGAGTACTCCTTCCTAGTTTTTCCAACAACTATCTTGTGAGGTAGGTTTGACTGGCCCAACATCCCGCAATTAACACACTTCATATAGAAATACTTTATGTTCTATTCCACTTTATTTTCTTTAATATGTTAAGTGACATTCATAAGCTCTAGAATTTATTACGTAAACTATTATATGGAAAATAAAAAATACATCTTACTGAATAGGAGGAAACAAAGGATCTTCTACAGGAAGAAAAACAAATGGATCTTCTTTGTATCCAAAAAGCTTCATTTTTTTAGATGGTGGAGGTCTGCAAGAAAAACAGAAATGTCCATAGCTTACCACTTTTTCTGGTATAGTTAAATATCTTCCTTTCCCCACGTCTGCAATTTCCAAACATTATCACTTATTTCAATCAAAAGAGGATGGCCTGTATACTCCATAGTAAACATACATAGAAAAGCCTTAGTATATTGAACTTGCTTGATTCAGCAGGTTTAATTGTAACATTGTTGTTGTTGTAATTCAAAGTGGTAATTGCCAATAATATATAATTTCAACAAGGGAACTAAATCTTTTTTCAAGGTCAGCAGTCTATTACCATGGAATTTCCTAGGAATTTCTAGGAAATGCAGAACAGCCTTTTAACATTGAGATTAGTTAGTATTGCTACTGATTTTTCTATTATAACATGGCTTTCACATAACACCAAGTATTTAAGTACATTACACAAGGTCTGTTTATTCAATTTTTATGAGTCACTTCATTCAAAGTTCTTTGAACTATATGTCAATTATGTCTTTTCCAAGAGTACAATAAAACAGATTACTTGCAGAAATCAGACAATACGTATTTTAGTCTCATAAACATCTTTTTAGTAGAAGGCAATATAGGTAGTCTTTGCTTAATCTCTCAAAGTTACAATGGGCCAAACAAGGAGACTTATGGGTGGTCCTTGCAGCATCCCTACAGTTGCATGATCACAATTTGGAGGCCTGACAACCTACTTGCAATTACAACAGATGCATCCCTGCAGTCATGTGATGGCCATTTGCTGGTTTCTGACATGCAAAAATCAATGGGAAAACCAGCAGGTTGACGAGAATGGTGATCACATAACATCATACCCACCGTGTGGGATTTGCTTAATAACAGTAACCAGAACTGCTGTAGTCACTGCAGTCACATGACATCACACTTTACAACTGTATCTACTAGCAGTGGATTTGCCATTACCATTGTTACCCTAGTTACCATTGTTAAACATAGACTATCTGTATTGTTCCATTTTAGATAATAGCTACGTTTATATCTAAGTCAGGGGTCTTCAAACTTGGCCCTTTTATGACTTGTGGGAGTTGAACTCCACAAGTCATAAAAGGGCCAAGTTTGAAGACCCCTGATCTAAGTAGTACTCTTGATATTCCTAGTTATAACAGATAGATATAACGCCCATATTTATAACCGTCACAGCTTTCTGGAATTGAAACTCCAGAAATTTTTAATCAGATGTTCCCTATTACAATCAGTTGAATATATTGTCCTGTGCCTGACCCATTTCTCCGCCCCGCCCCCATCCCTGAGCAATTGCTTAAGATTGCTTGATCTCTTCCTGAGCTTCTTTTCTCAGTGCCCCCTAAAAAGTGCTAACTGCAAGTTAAGAAGCTCGGCTCTTGGATCTTAATTAGCTGGCCAGAGCCATTGCTTGAAATTGATAAGCCCCCAATCAATTTCATACTAAAGGTTTTTGTTTGTCTCCCTTTGAGCTCACAGAAAACAGCTGGAACTACTGCATTCCTTTCGATGTGTAGTCCCCATTGTGTGCCTGTTTATACTCTTGTAATTCCTTTGTCTCCAAAGAATGTAAATACAAACATTAATTCTCTTCTTACTAATTATTCCAGACTGAGGTAAGCATTCTAAAGGGCAGGAGAATGTGGGAAAAGGACTACAGTACTATAAGATTTGCTCTTTTACCTGACTTCCTCATGAGAAAGTTCCAGAAACCTTCCCCGCTATTTGGGCTCATATCTGGGGTTATATCTTTCCAATGAAGGAAAGGAAAGCTGAAGTAAAGTTATTAAGCATAATCACAGTCACATGATTTTTCATTTGGTGACCACTTCACTAGACTGAGTTGTTAACCCAAAGGCATTCACTAAACAAGGATTTTATCTATAACACTAAACCAGAATTTTTAGTTGTGTTTTTGAACAATCTGGAATCATAATTTGATTGACCAATTCTTGGTTGGTTCTCACAATTTCTTCTCCAGTACCTAGTACCTATCCAAAGCAGATAGCTCTAGCGTGTTTGTGGGATCATTTCCTTTTATCATATAACATGATTTTTGTCTGTGTATTAAGACAGATTTTGAAAAGTGGAGCTCCTGCGATTTATGGCAGCTTTGAGCGATAGCCTGTATTTGTGGTCTCTCTCTCTTTCTTGGTGACAATGAATGTCAGAGTATGTTTCATGGTGAGAGTAAAGTCTGTTTGGAAGGGATCTCTTTATGCTTATAGGATGTGAGTTTTGTCTATGTCCAAAATTTTTGCCTGCTTTCATTATAGGTTTGTTTCTTGGGACCAGGTTTATGTGTATGTTGTATGTGGTTTTTACATAGGTTATATGTTTACTAGCATTTATATTACTGATACTATAAATTTATATAATATAATTATGGATTATTATAAATATAGGCAAACTGTTGACTTGTTTGGTATGTGGTTTAGTATTTGATATTTGGAGATTAAGAGAGCTTCATCTTTACTTATGCTATGGAGTAGTTGGTGGTGGAAAGATGATGGTTGCCAGGGCAACTGAAGAGAAAGGTTTTAGACTGAAGAACAGTGACTTTCTTAACTTCTCTTGTTCTGCATTATTTTGGAATGGGATAAGACTAACAAATAAGGAATCAGCCAGAATATGGTTCAGATACCTAGGTAAAACAAATCGTGATTCAATGTGGTAAATAAAGTGTATTCATTTCAACTATTATGTGTTTGCTATTTTAATGCTTTTATTCTCAGGCCTATGGCATGTATTACACCATCAAGGGAATTTAAAATAGGCTTCATCTTTATAGCAGAAAACCACATTCTTTTCAAAACGCTAGACATTAAGAACTTATCAATAATTCTATGCAATTTATTGTGATCTCGGAGTTTTCCTTAGACCACTCAGGTGTCCAACAATTTTCCTACCCTGAAGGGTTAGAGCAGGGGTCCCCAACCTATGGGCTGTGGCCTCTTGACCAGCGGGCCATGGAAATAGCTGGCTACTCGCACCTCCATTTGCAGGTGTGCGCATGTGCGAATGGGGCCGCTAGTGCCGCGCTGGAGCACGTGGCGGCGTTTGCGGGCGCATCAATTTGCAAACTGCTCTCCTTCCCTCCAAGCTGAGAGCCCGGAAAGGTTAGAGACCTCTGGGTTAGAGTACCAGTATAGATCAACACACTTCTGTTAATAAAAACAGCTTTAGTTCCCAATTTCTTACCCACAAACACCATCCTTCTTGTTCTCCACACTCTCAGTTACTGAGGTCTCTCCATCTTTTGCATCTTTCATTATAGGATCTTTACTTTCTAAAGGATCCTGTTCTGCATCTACAGGTATTAAATCTCCAGTCTTTTGAGGCAGCTTATTCTGAACCTGTTTCAAAACAGAATAATGTTTCAATTCTAGAAAAACCTTTTCTATTTGCTATCTCCAAAATACATTTGAAAATTGATCCTTAAAGAGGATAAAAATAAATGGACTTATAACTGCTGTTAAAAAGAACAGAACCTACTTCCTTATTTTTTATTGTTTATTTTTTGCTTTATATCTTTTTCACTTTATTACTTTTTCCTATTCTTTTAAGTTCAAAATTTGTATTGTTTTTATTCAGTTGAAAACGTTTTTTTAATAAAAACTGTAAATAAGATAAAAGGCATTTGAAAACTGATAGCAACTTTGGTTTAAATATTGGTAAATGTTTATCTGCCCATTTAAGTATGAAATAATTTTAATAACATGCTAATAACATTACTCAGGAATAATAATAATAATAACTTGAAAATGATCATACTGATGCTATATTCTAGGGCTTTGTTTGCTAGCCTATTCAATCATTTATTCTTAGTGAAAACAGTCTATTCTCCAATGTAAATACTAGAATACAGTTTGTTAAAAATCTGAATGACTTAAAGAATTACAATTGCAATAGCTTTCACAGATTACATTCCACTTCACTCAATGCAGGGCTTTTTATTTGCAACATAGCATAAAAGGTGCACTGAAAATACTGTTAAGTTTCTTGTAGTTGCCTGGTGCCGCCCCCTTTATTGGATCTTTCATTATCATGCAACTTTTGCCAGATCTCCATTTTCATTTCCTTGAAGTATGTTTTGTTAAAGTGCTTGGCAATGATTGGGTATAGACCAATCGGATGTTTCAATCAAAAACCATGCAGTTCCTTTTCATCTGATGCTGACCAGTATTGATCTTCCTTGCCTTTTTTTTAGCCAGGCTGAATCCTAGTTGTATTTCTTTAGATTGTCCCATTACTGCGCCCAGAGCTTCACTGCTTCTTCTTTGTCAGGTTGTTGACTGGTTCATTGCAATCTCTCCATTGATGGATTGGTAGAAACAGTTCTGATTTCACTGAAATTGGAGATTCTGCCTTATAGTATGCAATTTGACCTTTTTAATCTGCTGGTCTTTTTGGACATAGCTGTTATTTACCAATCTATTATTTACAGTATCATAATAACGTAAAATATTATAGCTACTTATTCCCATTGATTCTGACATGATCTCTGCTGCCTTTTGGTTTATTTTCTATGTATTTGTCAAATTTAGAAACTGCCCATCTCATTGCTCTAAGGAAGGATTCAATTCTCTGAATACATTCTTATTTATTTATTAATTAATCCATCAAATATATATATAAATTTATATAGCCGCCCATCTCACTGAAAGCAACTCTGGGCAGCATGCTTAAAGGATAAAACCACAAATATAAAGGACATAAAAGTCTTTTATACATTAACATTTAACAGTAAATATTATATAAACAGAAAAGCCTGGGGAAAGAGAAAATAAGCATAGCCAGCTCAGCAGTGGAGCTATCTAAGCATGTCTCCAGTTCCCTGGGAGCCCAAAACTGGATAACATAACTAAGTTTTGAGGGCCCTCTAAAATATCAAAAGAGATTGAGCTAATCTAATTTTGGGGGAGAGGACAGCTTCATTCAGCAGATGCCATAGCAGAGAAGGCATATCTCCTGGGAGTCAGCAAATGTAGGTCCGTAGCTGATGGCACCTGCATTTGGGGGGGGGGGGAAGCAGATCTAATGGGGTGGGCTGATGTAATCAGGGAGATGCGGTCCCTCAGACAGCTTGATCCTAGGCCATGTAGGACTTAATAGATCAAACCAGCATCTTGAATTGGATGTGGAGGCAAACTGGTAACCAATGCACCTTGCAGATGGGTAACATGTACTATTCTAGAAGTGCACATTACTGTCCGTGCTGTTGCACTCTGTGCCAGCTGAAGCTTCCAGATACTTTCAAGGGCTGCCTCATGTAGAGTGCATGGTTAACAGGTCAATCTGAAGGAAACTAGGACATGCCTGATTGTAAAGCAGGACCTGCTGATCCAGTAACGGGGCCACATTCTTGCATTCTGTTGTTTATGCCCAAAGCAATTTGAGTTGAGCAAGGATTCAGTCAGCACACCAAAGTCAGTGGCAAAGACTGACTTTTTCTATGTGTGATCTAAAGACAAACTATTCATAAGTCTATTCACAACACACAGCAGGCCACAAATTTCTGCAATAGGGCTTTACATTTGCTTCCCTTTCCTATGATACACACCAAGGGCACCTCTCCCAACTGCTGACAAGAAGAGTGCTAATTTCTGTTTTGTACCCTCTTTATGGCATCCAGTTGCTCTCAAGTACAGAAGAAGTGCTTTGTTGAAAGGGTACCCTTGGCCTTCCATATTTTCAGTATGCTTCTGTTCTGATGGAAGCTTCAAAGCAGCCTTTCTTTCTCTGCAGCTGTCACCAGTCAGCTAACACCAAAGAGGGCATATTCTCTAAGGACAGCTCAATACTACTACAATTGACTTGTGGTTTGACTGTGCAGTAATACTCAGATATACTTCTTTTAATAAGCTATCAGAAGAGTTTTGTTTTGTTGGGCTAAATCTGGGTCTCCAGCACGTCATGATTACTGCACGGAAATTCAAATTCACTTCTGACACAATGTGTTGTTCATTTATGGAGAGCCAGTATCAGAAGAGAAGGCCTGACTGTAGTTATTTAGATCAGCTTAAATTCAACTCTGACCTGGAAGAAAAAAGTATTTGGCATACAGCTTTTGCAGTATTTACAAAGACCAGACCATTTCTCCTCCTAGCATAAGTAGGTTCCACTTTTGATATATAGCAACGTCTTCATAGTAAACAATGATTTAATTATAGTGAAATGTATGCAAAACTAGTACAATAAATCCTTCAAAACAATACAGTAGTGTTTGTTGATAACACAATAATCAGCATTGCTATTGTGAATGGTATTCTGCACACATTCAAGCTCTCAATTGTCTGGGTATTGTTTTTTTAAACTTAAAACCATTTCTATTTCCTTGTTACTTTACTGATTACATAGCAACTTTAACCTTTCCCCGAATCCCCTTTTCCTGAAATCGACAACTATCTGATGAAATGAACTCAGACCTGCAAAAGTCTAGGTCAGGGGTGTCAAACTCAATTTCACTGAGGGCCACATCAGGGTTGTGGTTGACTGGGTGGGTGTGGCCAGGGTGGGTGTGGTCAGGGTGGGCGTGGCCAACTCAACATTGCTTGTGTTGGGGGGCACCTTTGTGGTCTGGGCGGGGCTGGGGGAATCCAGCCTGGTGCTTGAGCTCCCAGGGCACTGGGACCCCACAGCCCAGCCCAGACTTGCTATCCCAAGAGGACGCCCTGCTGCGCTTATCTCCTCCTTGAAGCTGCTGCTGCTGTTCGTGCTCTCCTTGGCCATGATGTGAGTGGGAGCACAAAGTATATGGGTCAGAGGGAGGCCTACTCCCTCTCCATATGAGGAAACCTGGCTTTGTAACTAAAGTATCCTCAGCAATAGGATGGGAGACCACCAGGAGAGATCAAGATGAGGTGCCAAGGGGATGGCAAAAGGGCAGCAGGGCTGCTGGTGGCCAAATGCTAAGACAGCACTTCCCTCAGACCCTCCCTCCCTCCCTTCCTTCTTCCCTTTTCTTCTTTTTCCTTCCCTCTTTATTCTCCTTTCTTCCTTCTTCCTTTCCTCTCTTTCCTTCTTTTTCCTTTCTTATTTATTCTCTTCCCCTCTTTCCTTCTTTTTTCTTTGCCTTTCCTCTTTCCTTTTTCCTTTCCTGTCCCTTCTTGGATGCTCAAATGCAAAAGGGGAAACATTTCTCCATGCCTTCTTGCCTTGTGATCAAATGCCACTTTTGCTTGTAGTTTGTGGCCACTTAAAAGATGGAGAACAAACCAGGCTCAGTTTACCCCGTGCTTGCTTTAATTAGGGGGTGTCCGCAGACAACAGTACAGCAAAACTGTCAAAATGGTGGCTGTGGTATTTAATAAGAGCTCCTGTTTTTTATGTGCAACAGCATTATCTTTTATGAGCAGAGGTAGGTTAGTTGTTTTTCTATTAATACATAATCCTTAAAAGGGCTCTCCTGTAAGGAGCCTGCCTTGGTCTAATTCAGACTGGAAATATACCAAAGGAAAATATTTTCCCCACTCTGCTTTGTCCTGCTTTCCCCACTGGAAATGGCTGTTTGCAACATTATAAGGAGGGAATACTTTCCTAAGAGCTCACAATTCAAGAATACCAGTGTTGTCTTGGATTGCAACAAAGTTCTGTCTGTCACAAAACAGAACACAAAATAGCTTTCTCCTTTGAACTGGGACATTTCCAACCAAAATACCTCTCCCTCCCTGACTCCTTCCTTCCTTTCCTTCTCTCTTTGCTTTCTTTTAAGCTGCCAGAGGCTCCAGGTAGAGGTGGCAACAGGCAGCCAGCAGTGGGCAAAGGCTTCCCCTCCCCGTCATTGCCTCTGCATGGCTTAGCTCACTTCTCCCAGACACACACATACACACACTGTGTGTGAGCGCACGGTGTGTGTGTGTCTGTCTCTCACTCCTTGCAGCCCCACACCCTCTCTGTGATGGCAGGCTGCAAACTAATGAAAGTTGGGTTTTTTTGAGTACTTGTTTCTTTTTCCCAACGTGCTGCCGATTGCATCATACCCTGCCCCCCTCAGCTTCCACCCCAGCCCCGTGGCTGGCTGCAAGAAGCATTTCTCTCCCGTTCTTTTCCTCCCAATGTCATAGCGTGGGGCTGCAGGAGGTGAGACACCCCCCCACACACACATGTGCGCACGCACGCACACACACACACAAACACATGTGCAGGTTCTGGGAGAGGTGAGCTGAGAGCCATGGAGCAAGAGGAAACGATAGGGGAAGGGGTCAAAATGGGAAACTTCTGTCCGGAGTCTCTGGCAACTTGAAAAAAAACCGTGTGGAGCACGTTTCAGTCCGTTCTCCCCTCCGTTGCCTCCACACCGGGGTTGACTCTACGCCTGCCAAAAGGGCAGTTTTGCTTTCGACCTCCCCATGCCAGAAACCGAAAACTGCTGCCGTTCACCTGCCATGTCCTCGACAGCCCCTGCAAACTCCTATTGCACGCTGGCAGGCAGAATCCTAAAGCTCCCATTCTGTTTCCTCCATGCTCAGGAAGGATACTGCCGCCCGCGGTTCTCCCATTCGGGGGTGGGGCGATCCCAGTGAAAGCCTGACGGGCAAGGCTGGGAGGGGTGGGGCGGGGTGAGGCAAATGAGCTGCAGCTGCTCCTGCGCACTACCAGCCTCCAAGCGCTCACCATTTCCTGTGCGTGTGCCGGGAAATCGCCCAGCCGGGTTGGGGTGGGCCAGGGCTGGGGCCGGTTCCTTGCCATTTCTGTGAACAGCTCCAGGGGCCAAATTTGGGCCCTTGGCGGGCCGCATCCGGCCCGCGGGCCTTGTGTTTGACATGTCTGGTCTAGGTTATAATTAACCTCTTAGCCTTTAAGATGCCATAGGTTGCTCTTTTGCTGCAACACAAGCAAAAAAACAACAACAACCTTTGACAAATTATTATTTAGATAAATAATAATTATGAAATAGCACTTCCAGATAAAACAAATGTAAATTATAATAAAGGGAAGGAGAAAATATGAACCAGGGATGCCCTCCATGAGGAAAAATACTCTAAATAGGGCAATGTTTTTCTGCATGAAGAAAAATAAACAATATAAAGTACTAGTTACTTTTCTGGAAACAGAATCACCGTTTTTAAAGCCTTATTCCTTGTATAAGGCTTAACAATCTAGCTTGACTAGATAAGAGAATCGTATTTGGTTCTGGATTAAATCTGTCTATTTTTGCTTAAAAGAACATCCAAGGACTCAATAATGCCCCGTGGATTTATTTGAGGCGAATTTTCAGTAGACAGTTTCTTATCTCTCTCCATCACAAACTTCAATATTCAGCTGTAATCCAGTTCCAAAAGCAGTTTCCTGTGAAGCATGCTATTCGAAATTCATAATTATTTCATGGTATTTCTAAAATCTTGTCCTTTTAAAACATACTGAAAAATGTTTTTAATAATACCAAACATTACCTTGGGCTGACGCTTGTTCCATGGCATAGGAGATTTTTTAATTAATACAGCAATGAAGAAACCTCCAGTATTCTGATGATGTGGTAAAATTCTAAAACTAGATAAGCAACATGGATTTGGTATCAATAGGCATATTGAGCCCTAGTTAAATCTGCGATCAGAAAATGATTTTTTTAAAAAAAACTTGTTAAATTAACATTATCAAATTGTTGCATGATTTTGTACAACTATTTTGCTTGTTTTAGTTACGTATTTTATTAAAGAGGACTCAGGGTCTGAAACAGCAATTACAGTTGAACTGTGGCCTCTTCCATCCCAGAACGGCTTCATTCAGTAAACATGGCACCTGTATTTCCTTGGAATAGCACAACCTAGATTTCAAGAGCACTGTGAACGCTGATCAAATAATTAACACCTCTCATCTTCCCTAAACTGAGGAAGGCACCTTTGGGTATGGCATAATGAATTACCAGAAATTCTACTGAGGAGATAACTCAAAATTCCCTGATCTGAATGAGTTTGCCCTTATGATTCAGAGGAGACAGAAACTGATTGTGTACAACTGTACAGCGTTCTTGTATTTTGCTTCAGAGTATCCAGGAGATCAAACTACTATTACATCAACTTCCTATTCATCAATTTTAACATTATTATACTATTGATAAATGCTGTATTACCAAGGATAAAATATGCTATCAAGTGTTGTTGTCATGGTTCCGAAAAGAAGCAGCTTTTCAAAGAACTTTGAGGCTTTATTTACCTTAAAGAATCCTTTTATTGCTACATAGCTTTGGCACATACATGAATCCTCCCACCCCCAATCACCCGTAACAAAGCATAACTCACTCCTTCATTTTACAGTCATCAATCACGTTATCCAATTAGTTTGAAGTGTGAACTGTCCCTCCCATATTCCTCCTGTTACAGCTGACCTTGGCAATGCTGTACTGAAATATTGTTATGGTTAACTAGCATACTTTCCCATCTGCTAGGCTAGTATTGTCTGCTTTAACTCTAGAAGTGATATGCAGGCTAAATAAAACATGTTTGCTTCTTCATATATGGCAAGCAAGAACATCTGATGTTAGCAGTCTTGACAGTTGTATCTTTGATTACTGTGTTGTTAAATGTTAACAAATGTTAACATTTGTTACTAATGTAAAGAATTTGGAAATAAGTGTTCCTGGTATTGCAGGACTTCATTTAAACCCTTAAAATATATCTCTAGATTTTAATTTTTAGCTGTATATATCTCCCAGTTGGACACATAACATACGTGGCAATTTTAAAGTGAACTTGAATTCAACACCATCTTACAAACATGATGACAACTTTACATACCAGCGCTCCAAATGTAATGCTTTCAATTTTTGTTCATCTTTTAAAGGGAACATTGTGGGGCGGATCTGTGTATGCCTGCTAGAAGGTACTTCTTTCCAGTCTTCAAACCAATTGCCATCTTTGGTCATTACCTAGGCGGGAAAATACAACGTCTTTCAAATCTTACTATTAATCTGCTCATCAAAGCAGCACTCTTCCTTTTCTCTCATGAAACTTAACGCTGAAATGTAACAAGGGCCAACTGACCACCTGAGGATCATCAATTAATTATACAGAAAGTGGTTGCCTTGTAATATGGTTAAACTGGTCTGGGAAAAAATATCTTGAGAAAATATACCCTCTTGATGGTATTATTGCTAAAAGGTCTCCAGCCAAGAGGTGCTTCCCATTCTCTTCACCCACCACAGTATTTATATAAAAGACCAAAGGCCTTCCCTATCCCCATTCCTTTTGGGGGGCAGGTCTGGCGGCCCGGCGGAGCATCTGGCCCACGAACTTGGCCTATAGACGTGGCGGTGGATTCGGCAAGGGTAGGGGCCGGGGTTCGGCGGTCCGGTGGTTCGGTGGAGGACCCGGCCCAGAGAGCCCGGCCATGGACCTAACCTTAGCGGCCGGTCGTTTTGGCCTATCCCAAGTCTTGAAAAGGGACTTAACCATCAGAA